ATCCAAATATTCCTCCAATAAAGAGTTTATCACTCTGCTTGTTATAGCCTGCTTCTAGGACTAGGAGCCCCTTAAAGGCAGAGACCTTGACGTTTCCTTTTTATCCCTGTAGCTTGGCCCCAAATTCATCCCAGAGTGGAGATCGTATCCATATTTGCAGAGTGAATACAGTTCTCTCTGACAGGTGCATTCAAACACATTCCCTCCTACATGTCCTTTATACAACAAACCTTTTGACTGGGTGCGGTGACTCATGCCTATAATCCCAGCACTTTGGGAGGCTGAGGTGGGCGGATCACTTGAGGCCAGGAGTTAGAGACCAACTCAGTGAAACCTGGCCAACATGGTGAAACCCCATCTCTACTAAAAATACAAAAATTAGCAGGACATGGTAGCAGATGCCTGTAATTCCAGCTACTCCGGAGGCTGAGACAGGAGAATTGCTTGAACCTGGGAGGCAGAGTTTGCAGTGAGCCAGAGATGGGGCCACTGCACTCCAGCCTGGGTGACACAGTGAGACTGTCTCAAAAAAAGAAAAAAAAACCACCTTTCTCTAGGTTTTCCATCATCACAGTGAGTGAGTGTAAAGGTCACAGAACATGTTCAAATTTCTCTTTTCTTTTTTCTTTTTTTTTTTTTGAGACAGGGTCTCGCTCTGTTGCCCAGGCTAGAGTGCAGTGGTGTGATCTCAGTTCACTGCAACCTCTGCCTCCCGGGTTCAAGTGATTCTCCTGCCTCAGCCTCCCGAGTAGCTGGGATTACAGTCATGTGCCACCACACCCGGCTACTTTTTGTATTTTTAGTAGAGACAGGGTTTCACCATGTTAACCAGGCTGGTCTCGAACTCCTGACCTCAGGTGATCCACCCGCCTCAGCCTCCCAAAGTGCTGGGATTACAGGACTGAGCCACTGTGCCCAGCCACCTGTTCAAGTTTCTGACGCCTTCACTGGCTTTCCCTCCTCAGCCTCCCGGCCGTCATGTGATGATGCTGCTTCGCTTTAGAAAAAGGGCTCAGAGAGGTCAGGACACTTGTCAAAGGTCATGAATTAGCAAGTGCTGGATCCAGTTTTCTCTACTCAAAAATTAACTAATTTTAAAACAGGTGAAAATAAGATGTGTTACACTAATATAACCTCAGTGGCAGTTTTCCCATCTGCAAAATAGACATACTACCACTGAACTCAAACGGGTGTTCTGAGGGATAAATAAAGCCTGTGGTTCCCCCAGAATCCCCCAGTGTGGTTGTTTAAAAATGCAGATCCTGAATTCCAACCAAAACTTGATTTATTTTTAAATGCGGGGGGTGGGGAGGGGGCAGAATCCAGAAGTCTGTGATTTTAAAATGGTGTTTAACTTCTCTGCTGTGCAGCCAAATTTGAGAAACCTCCAAGACACTAAGGAAAAGTCTGGTACATAGTAAGTGCCTGACAATAAAAGTTAATAGGACCCATATTAGGCAAACCAAGTTGTAAGGGTATAGGACATGTATTGCTGTGGGCCCTTAGGTAAATTACTCAACCTCTCAGAGACTGCCTCTTCATTAGTAAAACGGGTTGAAAATAGGAATAGCCACCTCCTAGGGTTATGGCAAGGATGTTCTGAAATCACACACTTAAATGTTGCTAACCAAACCTCATCTGTACATCCCATCGATTCCCAATCAGCCCCACGTTTGTCCCTTCTTGCCATCTCTATCAATACTCCCCCAACTCAGGTGACCATTTCCTCTGGCCTAGAAGGGTGCATTAGCCTTCCAAGGATATCCCCTCATACCTTCCATCATCCGATCTCCACGCAGAAGAACAATCCTCTAAAACATGAATCCGATTCTGTCACGCTTCACTCACAACCTCCCAATGGCTTCTCACCACCCCTGGGATAAAATGCAAACCTTCCAGGCCCCGTATGTTCTGGTCCCTGTCTGTTTCTCCTTCTCCCAGGGTATTTTAGCTGACCACCCAAGCTAAACAGGACGCCCCTGCAGTTCTCTATCTTAGCACCCTATTTATTTCTTTTCTCATTCAAATTAAGGTGTGGGATGATTCTATTTATTCATTATCATTGTTTGTCTTCTTTTCCATCAGATGTAACTTCTGTGATGGTGGGTACCACTGCTGTCTCACTATCCATGGTGCTTATATTTAGCACACTGCCTGACACACAGTAGGTGCTGCATAAATATTGAATGAATGAAATTGTTCAGCATCATGCTCCGCACTTAAGCAGCAGCCAGCAGCAAAGTTAGCTCCCTCTTCCTTCCTCCTCCTGTCTGCTTTCCCTACCTATGTCCCTGGAGCCTTCAGGCAAAGGACAAATACTGTATATTGGAGAGGAGATGCAGCAATGCCCAATGTCATCACTGCTTTATTTGATTAGCTCTGACTCTGGCATCCGGGACACGTGCGCTGGGAGCCAAAGCAACTGTATCCTGACCTCTGGTCCACGCGATCCCATCCTTATAACGATTTCCATGACAACAGCAATGAAAAGCCAAGGCTGTGGATTTCCTTTGATAGGAGCCGGATGCAGAGACCGAGAAGAAGGACTTTCAGAAGAATGAGGCTCTTTGATTCAGCTCAAAGCGCCTTCATTAAATACCACTTTTTCCCAAGAACATGCATTTTAACCCTGCAGAGGGCGAATTCTCATGAATACTTAATAACACAAAAAAAGAAAAAGTAACAAAATCTCTGTGGTTTCTTTTCAAAAACATCCACCTGTTGGGGGAGGGGAGGTTTGGGTATTGTGGCACTGGGGACATTTTGACGGAAGATGGGCAGACATGTGGCCTTCTGCCAAGCGAGTTGCTTCAACTCAAAATGCCTGGCCCCTGGCTGAGCCATCACACAGCAACTCGGCCTCCCTGGAGGCAAGCCAGGTGGCTCAAGGTTCCCTACCCACCTGCTCAGCCAAGCAGACAGGAAGATGCAATGGGAGTCAAAAGCATCTCCCAATTCTGCACTTAGAATCATAAGCTTTGTGTTCAAAACCCCGACTCTGCCACTTACCTACTGTGTTACTTTGGGCACACCACTTGCCACCTCTGGACAACATTTCCTCATCTGTAAAATGGGCGCAATGCCCCCTCCCCTCCCCTAAGAGCATCATGAGGATTAAGCAGGGTGATGCGGTCAAGCACAGGCGATACTGGCTTCCTGACATGGCCATGAAGAGGATAGAACGACCAGCCATCCTGGCTTGCCCAGGACCCAGAACTGGTAGCGCTAAAACTAAGACAGTCTCAGACAAGTCAGGAGGGTGGATCACCCTAGAAGAGAATGATCTGATAAAGGAGATGGCTAAGAGTCGTAGAATTTTCAAGATGGAAGGGTCCTCCCAGTGTCTTCTGGTTTAACAAGTTTACTTCTGTCATATTCTTTCCAATAGCATAAACTCGGTCTATTCATGAGAAAACAATCAAACCCAGATCAGAGAACATCCCATGGGATACCTGTCCAGTGCTCCTCAAGACTGTCAGGGTCCTGAAAAGCAAGGTCAGCCTGAGAAACTGTCCCAGAACAGAGGGGACTGGGCAGGCATGGCAATAAAATGCAGCGTGCGGTCCCGGGTTGGATCCTGGGAGAGGAAATGGGCATTAACAGAGAGACTGGTGAACTCCAAATCAGGTCTGAATTCAGGTCTTCATTTGGTTTTGTTTTGGTTGAGGTCTTCTAGTTAAGTGAATAAGCTCTAACTGAAATGTTTTGTTTTACGGATAGAAACTGACACCAGAGACTGGAAGCGGCAGAAGCTCTGGGATCTCTGTTTCTAACCATTGGCACTATAGTCTGTTGCCTTTTGCTGCTTTCCTGGAGACCTGCTGGTCATCATGGGCTGTGTCTCTAGAAGGAAGAGAGAACAGCACTGGGTTTGGAGTTGGGAAACATGGGTTCCAGGCTTGGCTCAGCCTCTGACTGGAGGAAGGGATGGTAATCCTCCAGGAAGGAAGGTGGTGAAGGCATCTGGGCTTAGCAAGAATGACTGATCCAAGGAAAGGTAACATCAATTGCAAGGACACAACACTCCCAGCAGAGCTCTAAGCCTCCCCAGGTATCTTCAGCTACCCCTGGGGACTGGTAGCAAATACTGAGTTCCTGCTACATCATTCACCTTTGGGACCTCTCTCCCCAAGGCTTGCACCACCCTGTGGGATCCATTCACATTTCTCAACACTGGCTGCCCTGGACCACACTGTCCATCGCCGGAACAGCCCACACTCATGACATCTCCTCAGGTCCCCGGGTTCTGCTCTGGCCTCACTTCCCTACCATCCTCAACCTTGCCACTCCTCCTGTCCTCCTTTGAAGCAGCCAGGGACGGTAGAGCCTGAAGATGGGGGTTCACATCCTGAATCTGCTGCTTTCAAGCTGCATGACTTTGGGTAGGTCATCACGCCTTTCTGTCACCCAATCACCTGAACTTGTGAAATGAAGTTGATGATCCTCACCTCACTCAGCAATCCTGAGAACAGCATGCAGCACCATGTACGGAGATACAGAGGACCCAGTACCTAGTGAGGGCTCCAGCTGGTAGCAGCCAGTGGTCAACATCATGTCTTGATCAATATCATTAGCATACTAATAGGCAGTCAAACTGCCAACGTTTGTATAACTGTTGCTGTTGTTAAGTATTGGTTTTGTATGACTGGCACTATTGCTATTTGGCTCATATACACACCACACACACACACACACACACACACACACACACACACACACACCAGGCACACTGCACTCAGCCATTCTGGCTAGTGTTGATCTGCCCAAGTCCTCCAGACATCATCTCTGAAGAAGGCAACAGGACTCCTTCTTAGACCCCTCCTCCTCACCGACACTCCACGTGACCCTTGCAGCCCCAAAATGCCCCTCATCTCCCTGTAGGTCTGTGAAAGTTGGAAGTTGGCACCACGGTTCCGCTCATACCTGGGAGGGACAGCCATTCTCTGCAGGTTGCAGCATCCTCCCCACCCTGATTCTCAAGGGGATCCCATGACCCCCACCTGGCTGTGCACTTTCTCCAGCTCCTCCTTGCTGACTGATGTCTTGCCATCCTCCATGGTGCCGAGAAGGAGCTGCACGTCTGACAACAGTGCGTGTGTCCTCCTGAGGTCTCTCCGAAGTCGCTTCTCCACGTCAAAGTCCCGATGGCCAATCTGAAAGCCAAAGGAAGACCCATGAGCTTAGGTGGCAAAGCAGTGGCCAGGGTCTAAGTTTTCCGGAACCAGGCTCCCTGGTTTAAATCCTGCCTTTGCCACTCACACAGTGTGACCTTGGGCAAGACCATTCTCCTCCCCAAGCCTCAGTTTCCTCAACTGAGAAATGAGATTGGCACCGACCACATTGGGCTGCTGTGAAAATTAAATACCTGCCTAGCCTAATGCTTGACACAGAATAAATGTACAAGAAATATGAGTTGCTATCATTGCTGCTATCATAGCTCGTATGGATCCAAAGTCACTCCGTCATCCCACCTTTTGCGCACAAGTCATCAGTATGACCTCACCTCATCTTGTAAGAGCCTCATATGCCAGATGAATCCCTCTGCTGCTGGCCAGGTTCTGCTGACAGAAGTTAGGACAGTCCTGGGTGGGCAGGGACTGGACAGAGCCTCTCGATTTCTGGGGAGTTATTAATGTTATTGATCTGGGTGGTGTTGTATGAGTTTATGAAAATTCATTGAGCTGTACATGTGGGATATGGAGTCCTCTGTATGTGTGTTACACCTCAGTAAATTGTAAATGTGCTCCTTTTGATGATCTAAGTCAATCTTTTCTGTCCTTTGGTCCTGTTTTCCAGTTTAAGGACAAGAAAATGACATCATTTGCTGCAGAGGAATCTTACCCAGAGGTGAGTACATTCCTTCCCCCAGAATCTTGAATTTACCAGGGACAGCTGTTGAGGGAGTCCCAAAGAAGCCACATCCTGGACTGGGCACCAGGACTGTGACCTTAGACTCCTTGACAGCTTTCAGTGGCCAAAAAGTACAGGCTAAGCCAAAGCAGAAGAGGTACAGAATTACACCGGGCCCTACATGAAATTTCAACAGCCGGTCACCTCTCTAGAAACAGCACTGACTTAAAAGACAACGTGTTAACATCCCTGAAAGAAACTAATGACTCCTTTCTCGGACTCTTCAGGAGACCAGAGGATACAATACGGGCCTATCCATCAGATGGGGAGTTTTAAGGAAAACAGGGTGCAGGTCCCTCAACACTGGGATGTGGTTTTTACACACCTGGAAATCTGTGTCTCCACACCAAATGCTAACCATTTCCTGGGATGCTCAGAATGTCCTGGAATATTCTAGAAAAAACACGGGGTTGAGAATGAGCAGATCTAAGCTTTAAACCCTGGCTCACCATTTGCTGATGATGGAACAGTGGCTGAGTCACGCCACATCTCCGAACCTGAGTTTTCTCATCCACAAAAGGAGAGGTTAAAAAAACACCCTGTCCTTCGTGTTGAGATAAGACAAGGATCAGACGTGATAATGGATTCCAAAGTACTTTGTATGCTGTTGAGTGCTTTGCAAATATAAAGGATTGTGAGTATTGTCTGATGACCTAGAATGTATTCCTCCAAATTTTGTATTTCTATTTCTCTACTGCTGGTTTTGAATTCTTTGACAAACAAGTTGGTTCTTAGAATATGGTCTTTATATCTGAAATGTATTGTTTTGGTAGGTTCAAAATGCTGTTCTATTATACACACACACACACACACACACACACACACACAGTCTCAACTGCTGAACTGAGGGCTGGGCATTGTGCCAGGCTCTTTGCAACGTGTTACTGCATTTAACTCCTGTGACAATCTCCTTAAATAGACCTTATTACTATTGCCTTTACAAATGTAGTAATAGCTTACATTTATAGACACTTTCTAAGTGTCATATACTATTCTAAACACTTTATAGCTATTAATGCATTTAGTCATCATGATGAATCGATGAGGTGTATAGTATTATGATTCCCATTTTACAGATAATGAAACTGAAGTTTGCAAAGATGAAGTAATTTGCCTCAGTTCACACAGCTAGTAAGTGGCAGAGTTGGAATATGAATCCAGCTTTTCTGGCTGGAGAGTGGTAATTTTAGTAAAATATACCATTAGGTAGATGTATTTTAGTCTTTAATTCTGAAAAAAATATATCATGGGAGCACAGAAGAGCATTATCCAGCTCAGGCTGGGATGGAATTGGGAAGTAGAAGGTAGCTACTCCTAGTGGGGGGAGGTAGAGGCAGGATGTTTTAGGTAGAAGGCACTTAATGAGTAGAGGCAGAGAGGCGAAAAACAATCTGGGCTATGCATTTCTGGGTGGTTGCCATGAGAGTATAAAACCCTAGAGTGGGTGGGGGGCAGGTTACAAAGTGAAAGAGGTTTTCCAGGACTCTTACATGGAGGAACAACTGATATGAAAGAGCAAATGATCTGCCCAACGTCATACTGCTGCTAAGTAGCTATGCAGAGATCTGAATCCAGGCAGCTCAGCATTAGGATGTAAGTCTCTAACCATTGCACCACAGTGCCTAGTGGAGCTGCTTCATGAACCCAGATTTACTTACTCTAGAACCCAGACTCTTACCGTGATTACGCTTAGGCAGTGGGCTTTGCACATTTCTTATATTTGTGTCTGTTTTTGTTTCGCGCATACCCTAAAGTGCCTTTAATTCTCCTGTGGGGCGAGTTAGCATCAGGGACATTCCCTGATGTTGACACTGACCATGCAGTAGAGATGGCTCAGATTCTACGATCTTCACTGCCTGAAAGGCCCTGAAAATGCTGGCACTTTTCAGAGGAAGCACTGCAAACAAAATTCACAAGAAAATCTCAGACTAGTCATCCTCCCATTTATAATAAATTGCTACAAGAGAGGAGGGCAAAAAATACCACTCATTAGGTTAATGGGAAATAAATGTCATTCTGCAAGTTTCCATTTTGTAGCACAAAGATTCAAACTTTGATAAAGATGGTTAATAATTAACTAATAAATCTACATGATGTTTAGTGTTGTTATGAGTAACTATATTGCAGTCTTAGTTGGTTCACCATTTATCATAAAGGCAAATTATTTGGCGAACTTGTTAAATGTCCATTGTCAAAAGAATCTCCAAGCACTATTACAATATGATCTAGACATGCTGTTAGGGATAATCAAACCACTTTACAGATGGGGAAATTGAGGCTTGGAGAGAGAATGTATGTTGCTAAGGGTTTCACAAATTAATGGCAGAACTGGCTGCCTGAGAACACTATGAAAAAAAGATGGTCCACAAAAATATGGTTCTAGCTAAGTGGACCTTATTGCTTTTAAGCAGAATCATAATAGGTTTTTAAAATGATAGACATTCAAATAATATAGACCTCATTTAGAATCCGCCTAGGGTACTAACTTGCTAGGCAATCCTGGGCAAGTTGCTTTACTTTTCCAAGCCTTACTTCTTTCATTTATATGAAGGAAATACTAATATCTATCCCACAGCATTACTGTGAAAATTAATGTTGGTAAAAAATTATGATTAAGCATATATCTTGAAATTTATGAGTAACAACCAAACGAACAGAAATAAAGTTTGTAGCTTCTGAACCAATAGTTCAAAAGAGAACACAGAAAACATCAATCTATCTAAAAGTAGGAAAGCAGGGAGAGCAATGTAAAGGAACAAGAAACTAAAAAAACACAAGATAATACAAAATAGTTTCAAATATATCAGTCATTATAACATATGTAAATAAATTAAATTTTTATATGAAAAGCTAGACTAAAATATTGCATTGAAATTATCCAGCTGTTTAAAGAAAACACATGAACATGCACACACACACCCCTACAAATCTTTAAAATGAAATAGAAAAAGGTCTTGCAGGTAAACTAACTAAAATAAATCAAGCAAAATAAAATAAGGCAAAACTCATTCATGGAGAAAGACAGACACCAGGTAAGAATCGAAGCAATGATCTTCAAGAAAATAAAGCAATACAAAACTTAGATGCACCTAAATATATAACCATAAATACATAAAGAGAAACTATGACAGAATTGTTAACAAAACTTGGAATAACAACTCTCATGGTAAGGATATAACAGGACTCTCTCAGAAACTGATCAAGAACTCAAAACCAAAGTTAACAGGAGGTAGTTTTTAAAAATACATAATCATGTATTTTAAAACTTTTCTTTATGGCTTATGCTTTTACATTTGTATATAATGTTGAAATAAAAAATTAACAAGCTTGATTCATTTGCCATGTATAGAACCCTATGCCTCATAAACAGTTACATTATTTTCCACTCAATAGTTCATTTTTGTTTCTTTGGTTTTATTCTTGTTTTTGAGACAAGGTCTCACTCTGTCACCCAGGTTGGAGGGCAGTGGCGTGATCTTGGCTCACTACAACCTCTGCCTCCTGGGTTCTAGTGATTCTCATGCCTCAGTCTCCTGAGCAGCTGGGATTACAGGTGCCCACCATAACACCTGGTCAATTTTTATATTTTTAGTAGAGGCAGGGTTTCACCATGTTGGTCAGGCTGGTCTCAAACTCCTGATCTCAAATGATCTGCCCATCTTGGCCTCCCAAAGTGCTGGGATTACAGGTGTGAGCCACTGTGCCCAGTCACACACAATAGTTTATTAAACTCTACCAATAACTAGAGCAACAAAGAGATCTCTACAATTTCAAAGAAAAGATGTTATGCATTCTACCATGTTATCTGTCCAAAATGCCCTTAAATTAAAAATTAACAATAGAAAGTTATTCTATCCTAAATCATCATCCTAAATGTTAATAAACTTGAAACTTGAGTTCTAGATAGCTTACAGGTTAAAAGAAAAAAGAACAAGATAAGACAAAACACTTAGTAGATGGCACTAAAACAGCAATTCCAGGTAAATGTATTATCTTAAATGTACTTAAAAGAAAACATTTTAAGTGGGAAACAAAATATTGAAGGTGAGTCAAACATTTTAATACTAAAACTGAAGACCAAGAACAAAAATCTAAACCAATGGGGCCGGGCACGGTGGCTCACGCCAGTAAACTCAGCACTTTGGGAGCCAAGGCTTGTGGATCATGAGGTCAGGAGATCGAGACCATCCTGGCTAACATGGTGAAAGCCCGTCTCTACTAAAAATACAAAAGATTAACCGGG